CAACCCCATGGGGACACCCATGACATTGCCCCCCCCACGGGGAGCTGCCTGCTCCCAGGCTCATTCCTAGAGGGAAGCGTTTCACCTTCCCTCTCGCCCCACCCTAATTAATTGTTTTAATTAAGGAAATGCCACTTCCACTCCCGGCTGCCATGTGCCTGGAGAAACGTCGCTAATTAGGGTGAGGAGAAAGCCCCGTGCCTCGTTAAACCGTCCTCAGGCAGCCGGGGGGGGGGTGGTGTGTGCGTGGGGGGGGCTAAAAATATACAGAAAAGGGAAAAGAGCCAAGTGCTGACATGAGACAGAGCGGGGGGGGGGGGCTGCAGGTGCTCAGGACCCCCCCCAGCACCCCAAAGTGCCTGGGGGGTGGAATTTGGGGCCCTCTGCCCATCACCCGGGGCTGGCGCCCACCTTGCCCAGCAGATGGGTGCTAACGAAGCCCCCGCGTCCCTTCGGCTCCTTTTCCTCCTCCCTGGGGCTCGCTGCTGGACCTCAGCCCCTCCAAACCACCCCAAACCACCCCAAAAATTCCCCCCTCTGCTTGTGCGGGAGCTCGATGGCCCCATGGAGAGGCTGTGGGGGGGCTGTGGGGTGCTGTGGGACGGCGCTGGTGGCCCCGGGCACCTCAGTGGCTCTTGAATCTCGTGGATGAGAGCGGTCCGGAGATGGAGCCACCGCTTCGGAAGCGTCCGTCTTTATTAGCAGCTGCTCAGCATCTCCCCGAGGGCCGATAAAGGAGGGAAGCAACTTCCTCAAAGCCACGCAGCCGAGTGCATGCGGGCACGTCTCCTGTCTCCACGTCTCCCCCGGCCACTTCCCCGTCACCTCGCTGCCGCTTCCCCGTGCGCTGCGGTGTCCTCGGGTGCTCCCGCCTGGTGGCACCCCCCTCCTGGTGCCACGCAGCCTTGTGAGCGGCCCTCCTGGTCCCTCACGGCCCCCCCTGGGACAGAATCCCTCCTGGTCCCATATCCACGTCCCTCCCAGTCCCTCCTCGTCCTCCAGCAGTGTCGCTCCTCGCCCCACGGCGATGTCCCTCCTGGATCTCCAGGAATGTCCCTCCTGCTCCTTCCTGTCCCTACGGTGATGTCCCTCCTGCTTCTCCAGGAATTTCTGCTCCTTTCTGGTCCTCCCTGGCCCCACGATGCCATCCCTCCCGGATCTTGGATCTCCAGGAACGTCCTTCCTGGTCCCTTCTGGCCCCATCCAACAATGTCCCTCCTGGTCATTGTCCCTTCACCAGGTCCCTCCTGGCTCCACGATGCCATCCCTCCTGCCCTGTGACAACACCCCTCCTGCTCCCTCCTGGCCCCGTGCTTCTCCCAGGCTGGGGGTGCTCCCTGCAGCCCCCCTCCAGCCCATCTCCAGAGCCCGAGGCCACCACGGGGGTTCCTCTGGCTCCATCCTCTCCCCCCATCCTCTCCCCGTTGCCGTCACCGCCTGAAGCCGCTTCCCCTTCCCGGCGCAGCGACGTCCTGGGGGATCCCGTTGGACTTCATCAGGATTCAGGCTGCCTGGGCGAGATAAAACCCCGTGGCCGCCACGTCACGGCGGCTGCGGTGGGATTTAATCCTTTTGAAGGTTGCTGGGCTGCGGCTGCCTCCAACGCTGGCGATAACGAAACCATCGCCGCAGCCCGGGGCTCCTGCGGCCATGAGGCAGGGACAGGGACACGGGGCAGGGGGATGCTGCGTGATGCTGGCGCTGGTGGCATGGCAGGACGCCCCTGGGGGGGTGATGGGGGCGGATTTTTTTCTTCCCGGCTCGTCCTGGCGCTGGGATTGCCGTCGTGCTGAGAGCTGCCTCGGAGGCAGGGGGTGCAGCCAGCGCGGTTTGCTGTTTTCCCATTGAGAAATGAGAAGAAAAATAGAGTGTGGGGGGATTTAGTGGGATGAATTTGTGCTGGGAGCAGAATCCCTGAGTGCAGCGTTGCTGGGGGCTGCCCGGGACCCCCCCATTTGGCACCAGCCCCATGCGGTGCCCCTGAGAGTTGGGGGGCTCCAGGGTCTTGGGTGCAAACACCCCATGCAAAACTGAGTGTGACAAATGGGAACAAAGTGGAAATGGGGCCGTAAGAGCATCCCCCACCCCTCCAGATGCCTTTGGAGCTGGAACAGGGTCTGCGTCAGGGCAGCAATGGGCACGGCCGCTGCCCCAGGGGCTTTCCCTGCTGCGCAGGGACGCGGCCGTGCCGGTGCCGTGCCATTAGTCCCGTAATTGAGCTTCACGAGCATTGTCTAAAATTTCCGTCTCATCAAGCAGCTCCTGCAGCAGCTCGGGGCATCCTGGGGGGATACGAGCACGTGTCACCTCCAGGGAGACGGCGCTGGGACCCTGGGACGGGGACTGGGCACGTGCTGGTCCCCTGCTCCGTGCCATTGGGGCTTTCCTGGCAGTTTTTGGCATGGCTAAAATGAGCCCATCCTGCTCCTTCCCCTGCCCTGGCACAGGGGTGCTGGGCACACTCAGGGTGCTCGGGGCAGAGGGAGGCCAGAGCTGGGGGGCTCCGAGCCTGGGGACCAAGCCCAGGATGGGGGATCTAAAATCTGGCAGAGGTTTAGGGGCGGCATCGGAACTGAGACCAGGGCCAGGGCTCACCTAACGACTCACACAGCCGCCAGCCTGCTGCCGGTCCCCAAAAATCCCTTCCTGGGCATTGCTGGGGACTGGCAGGGATGGGGTCACCCCCAGCATAGGGAGGGATCCAGCCACAGCGAGACCCCGATAGCGTGGGGCTGGGAAAGTTTTGGGCATGGGGTGCGTGGGGTCTCGGGGGCGGATGCGCTGGGGTGGCCGCAGGGATCCGAAATCCTGAATTTGGAGGCAAGAGTAGAGGCAGCAGCTGCTTGGAAAGCCCCGAGGGCAGGCACAGCCCCACTGCCTGCTGCCCCAGGTCAGTGGCACCCCCGTGCCACCCCCAGCCTCCTCTGGCTGTGCCCCAGCCTGGTGACATCCGACGTGGGGCGAATTGTCCCGGCCGGGGCTGCCACCGCCGCTCCGGAGCCCGGCTCTTCAATCACAGCTTGCTGGGCAGCCCAGCGCTGCCGGAGTTCAATTTTTCTGCGGTGATTACAATTTAAAAAGCAGCTCCCCTGACCATTAAATCAAAATGAAATTGATTGGAGGCAACAAAGGGAAGGAGAAAGGAGAAAAAAAAAAGAAAAAAAGGCAAAAGGAAAAGAGGGAGGAATTCGCCGTGGATGCGCCTTGGTCCTGTGGGGCGTTCTGAGGACGGGGCAGGGGCTCAGCTCCAGCCCCTCTCTGCCAAACCCCAGCCCCTTACCACAGCTCCATCCTTGCTCTGGGGGGGTGGCTTTGCCCCCATCCCGCAGCCCCAGCCCCGTGCGGGATCCCCGGGGGCTCCTCTGCACCCCCAGAGCCCAGCGCAACGTGGGCACGGTGCGGGCAGCGCGGGGCTCGGGGACATCCCTGGCGGTAATTAATGAGCTAAACGAGCTCACAGCCTGACCCTGGGCTCGTACCACTGCTCACTTCACTGCGCTAAGCAATCCTGCAGAATTTTATGGCAGGGGCCCAGCTCTCCAGGAGGAACTGGGATCAGCCACCAGGAGCAGCCCCATGGCCACCCCAGTGCCGGTGCCGGTGCCGGGGCTCTCCAGGTGCCCCAGGGCACAAATCCGGGGGCTCTCCTGGTGCCAGGACACAAATCCTGGGGCTCTCCCAGTGCCCCAGGACACAAATCCCGTCTATCCCAGCACCGCAGGACTGGGGGAAGGGGAGGGAGCGGGGCTAGGCTGGGGTTTTGCAGCGATTTGAAGCCCAGCTGCCCCATTTGGCTGCCCCAAGGCATGGGGTGTTTCCTACCGATCATTTCAGCTCCCAGCCCCTCCTTTTTTTTTTTTTTTTTTTTTTTTTCCTTCCCACTCCTCCCTTGTTTTTTGGTCAACCTCTGAACAAAAAGTACTGCTTTGGAATGACCTTCATTTTCCAAAGCGATCGAAATAACATTTTTCTGGCAAAGCGTTTGGCTTTGTTGTTTTTTTTAAAACGCTGCTAGAAATCGCTTGGCGCTCTCCGATCCTTCCAGCTTTGCTGCTGGCCACCGCCAAATCCCCACGGATTTTGGAGCTGTTCCCACCCTGCTCCAAATTTCCCTTTTTTTTCTCTCTTTCTTTTTTTTTTGTTTCTGAGAAGCTTCAGCAAAACAGCTCCGCGTGGGGAAGCACCGTCCCTGCTCCATCTCCACCCTGACAGATGTTGCTGGGCTCGGCTGAGATTTGGGGAGGAAGAAAACGATCCCGGTCTGCCCCGTGGCTCCCTCAGCCAGGAAAAACCTGTTCCAGGAAGGGTGTGTAGGACGGGGGTGAGAGGAATGGGAAAAGCTGGATAATTCCTGCCCTAAACCTGTGGTGTCGCTGCCTTGGCACCCGGGAGCGTGGTCCCACCAGAACCCCTCCGTCCTCCTGCCCGGCCTCATTAATTCCCTCATTTTCACAGCAGCCTTCCTTTTTGCAGCCTCCATAGGTGAGGCAGGGGAAAAAGGGGAAAAAATGGGGGGAAAAAATGAGGTGCAATGGAGGGAGGCTGCTTGCTTGCAGCCTTTTTGCAGGAGGATGCAGGTGTCCCCCCAGCTGAGCCGTGCGCTCTCCATCAGCCCTCCCCAGGGAGGGTCCCAATCCCCACAGCCCTGACCCCATCACTCAGCCCCAAACCTCATCACCCAGCCCCGATCCCAATAGCCCAGACCCAATCCCAATAACCCAGCCCTGATCCCCATCACCAAATCCCACCACCACCCAGCCCCAATCCCAATAACCCGGCCCCAATCCCCATCACCCACTGCCCCAATGGCAATAACCCAACCCCAATCCCAATAATCCAGCCCCATTCCCCACCATCCAACCCCAATCCCCATCCCCCAGCCCTGATCCCCATCACCCAGCCCCACCATCACCCAGCCCCCATCCCAGTAACCCACCCCCGCTCCCAGTAACCCACCCCCAATCCCAGTACCCCAGCCCCACCACCCCCCAGCCGCTGCGGCCGCGCCACCGCCCGCCTCCCCGCCACGAGACGGGGATGGAGAGGAGCGCGGGGAAGCGGTGCGCCGAAGATCAAGAGGAAAATGATCAAAGGAGGCATGTGGGTGAGCGCTGCAACCCCGTCACCCTGGAGACGGGAAGCAAATATTTGGGCTAATAGCGCCGGCGCTGCAGCGGGGCCGGGAGCTTCCCATTGTCAGGCAACAATAGGGACGGGCAGCCACCCCGCTGCCACCCCGCTGCCACCCTCCCTGGCTTCGTTAGGGTTTGTTGGCACGGGGAGGGGGATTTTGGGGTGTTTTGGGGTTCGTTAAGGGCTGAGGATGATGTTGGCCACCGTGGGATGCTCGAGGCCGGAGGGGAGGCGATGGGGCTGCGGGGTGGTGCTGCACCCCGTGAGCATCCCGCTGCGGGGACGTGGCGCAGGGCAGGGCACAAATCCACCCCCCTTGATGTGGGGGTGCCCACGCAGACCCCCGAGGTGGGCTTTCCTCCTCCTGCCGACCTCCCAGCCCTAATCCCATCTTCCTCCTGCAAGGCTCAGCCTCCCCTCCCGCTCGCCCTCGAGGATCCCGTCCTGCCCAGGAGGGAAACTGAGGCAGGAATCAAGCAGCCCTCTCCCTGGCCCCCTGCACCCCCAGCCCTGCGCAGCTGTGCAGGGGGGGCACGATGCAGCCCCCCTACTCCCCCAGGGGCTCTCTGTAGGACGTGGCACGGGAAAGGGACGAGCCCCCCGTGAGGGCCAAGAGGCAGCGGAGAGCTGGAAACTTCCTCGGGTGCCGGCGCATTTCATCTCAAAACCTGTTTTATCTTTAATAAACCTGAGCACCTGGTCGAACACGGAGGAGAACATTACTTTTTAAATATAAATCTCGCTCTCTCTCCAGTTTTCACCCGGCGCTGCCCTCCGAGCCGGTGTCGTTAAGGTAATGGGGTTGGACGGATGAGATTTCCCACCCGCTGGCACGGAGACCCCCTCCGTGGGTGGAGGTGACAGCGTGGCCCCCGGTGTCCCCGTGCCACCCCCTGCTCGCAGCCGTGCCAGCACCAGCCTGGGCACCGTGACCCCGTCCTCATGGGGCAGGTGGTCAGGAGGCAGGCGATGCCTTCAATAATAATAATATAAAAATGGGGGAAAAGCCTTTTAGGAGCTGGCACGGGGTCCTTCAATCCCACCGGGAGCAGAGCAGTCCCCGTCCCGTCCCCCAGGCTGGGACCCTCCGTCCCGGCGCGGTACCTGGCGCCCGTTGCGGGAGCGCGGCGCGCTTGGAGTGACACGGAGGAAAATCAGGCTGAATGAATGAGGTCACCTGCCCCATAAATAATTCATCCGCGGCGCCTTCATGCACGCTGCCCCCGCGCGCCAGCAAGGAGCTGGGGGGCTGCTGGTGCTGAGCTGGGGCTGCCGATCCCAGTGCTGGCAACTGGGGGGAACTGGGGCAAGGACACCCCCCCTTCTTGGGTCGCCCCCGTGCCAGGATCAGGGGGACCCCCCCCCGCCTGCCTGTGTCCTGCCACCAGTTGCTGTGGGCACGGGGCCCAGGTTCGGTGGTGCGGGGGCAGGAGGCAGGTGACGGAGGTGGAGGAAGGAAGGGCAGCACAGCCGGGGGATTAGGGCAGGAAGAAAGCGCGGCAGTGTGGGGCCGGCAAATGTTTTAATTCCCTCCGCAGCTGCTCCTGCCCCGGCTGCTTGGGGACGGGGAGCGCCAGTGCTGTGGTGCACGGGGAGTGGGGCATGGAGCCAGGGCTCTGCGGGTGTGCAGCACTGGGGTAGGGATCAGGAGCGGGATCGGGATGAGGATCAGGATTAGGATCAGGATTGGGATCAAGATTGGGATCAGGATTGGGATCAGGATTGGGATTGGGATCAGGATCAGGATCATGATTGGGGTCATGATTGGGATCAGGATCAGGACTGGGATTGGGATCAGGATCAGGATCAGGACTGGGATCGGGATCAGGATCAGGATTGGCATCAGGATCAGGATTGGGATCAGGATCAGGACTGGGATCAGGATTAGGATCAGGATTGGGATCAGGATTGGGATCAGGATCAGGACTGGGATCAGGATCAGGATCATGACTGGGATTGGGATCAGGATCGGGATCAGGGCTGTCCCAGCCCTGCAGCGCTCAGTCAATCCAGGGTCGTGCCCGCAGCCCCCGTGCCCGTGCCGGCCCTTCCCAGCCTTCCCCCTTTGCGCTTTATGAAGTCGTTCGGTGCGAGAGGAAGGCGAGCCCGGCAGCACCGAAACGTGGCAAAAGAACATCTTGAAGCCATTCTGCCATCTGTTGTGCTTTCAGCGCAATTAAGCAGGCAGCAGCCATGCGAGGCAGCGGGAGGCACCCGCCTGCACCTCCTCGTCCCCCCCGGGGCCGGGAAACCTCCCCGGCGGGGCCACCGGGGCACGGCAGCCACAGGGCAAGTGCCGGGTGCTGGCGCTCCCCGGGGCTCCCGTTACTTCCACCGGCAAACCCGTCCGGGGCACCGGCAGCACCGGCAGCTCGCTGGCAGCCGGGGATGCGCCGCAGATGCCCAGGGTTTGGTTGCTTGGCACGCGCGGCGGCGCTGGCCTCGCCGGCTGCCTGCGGGGAAGGCAGCGCTGCGCCGCTCTCCCTGCTCACCCGGCCCGGTGCCAGCTCAGCCCCGTCCCCCCCGTCCCGTTCCCTTCATTGTGTGCCCCCCCGGTGCTCCCTGGAGCCCCTCGTCCAGGGGAAATTAATGGTGGGGTGCGGGCAGGGGGGCGCTGAGTTCATTGAGGCCACGAGGAGCAGCTGCGCCACCAGGGATGGGGCTGGTGGCTCTGGCACCTCCGTAAACCCACTACACCCCCTTGTCCCCCTGCACCCTCGTCCCCAAGCCCCCCCCGGGTCCTGCTGTGTCACCGAGGGCTGTGACGCCGGTGCCTGGCAGGTGGCTCTGCCTCCGGAGCCGGGGCTGCTGCCAGCACAGGGCTCGTCAGCGCTTCCCTTTGTTGCCGCCGTTGTTAACTTCAGCGGTAACATTGGTTTATCCCCTTGATCTTGACGGGAAATAGGGAGGCAAGGGAAGCGTCTCCGGGGAATCGACGCTGCATGCGCCGAGCTTTAATTAGGCATGTGAAATTTCCTCCGACAGCAGCGACGTTAAAGCGAGCCCGGCGCTGGAAGTGATGAGGACCAAAATTAAATCGCCGAAACGGAGCAAAACTGCACGGAGCCGAGATCCTGGCGGCTGCATCCCGGTGGCTCTGTGGGACCGGCCCGGGCACTGCGGGCACGGCTGGGGGACCAAACCCACACCCCAATCCCGTGCAGAGACCCCGGCACATGGGGTGCAGAGAGAGCAGCAGAGGAGCTCGCCCACAGCCCCAGTTTGGCACTCAGGTGGTCCCAGTATGGCCCGGCCAGCCCCAATGGGATCCTCAGGCCCGCTGATAATGGGGACAGCCGAGGTGGCTGGGGACAGCAGGGACACAGCCCCGGGGCTGCTGTCCCCAAGGCCAGGGAGTGATGCAGCACCCAGGGGTGGCCGTGGGGTGCTGAGCCCATGGGACGTGGCCAACGCGGGACGCAGCGAGGAGGAATGGCCCAGATCAGCTCGGGGGCGCGGCAGGGTGATAAACGCCAGCCCCACGGATGCAAAAAGGGCCCCGAGCCCCTCGCAGCCCCCGTCCCGTCCCCGCAGCCCCCGTCCCGTCCCGTCCCCGCAGCCGTGCCCCATCCCGGGGCGCTGGAGGCGTGCAGTGGCTGCAGCAAACATTCCAGCTGATTAAATCTGCAATTACAGATCTCGCCGCCGCGGCTCTCTCCTGTCAGCCTTGGCCTCAGCTACTGACACAGCCGTGATAACAGCCTCTATTAGCATAAAACACCGGCTCCGAGCCCGGCCAAGGATGGGGAGGATTAAGCAGCCGGCTTCTTCTGCTAATTAATAATCCACTTGATTAAGAATTGTCTGTCAATATGTCAGCAGCACAAGGACAGGCCCTGTGGCCATGAGCTGGGAGCACTGCTCTGTGCTGGCCTGGGGGTGGCATCCTCCTCCTCTTCCTCCTCCTCCTCCTCCTCCTCCTCCTCCTCCTCCTCCTCCTCCTCCTCCTCCTCCTCCTCCTCCTCCTCCTCCTCTTCTTCCTCCCCTGCAGCCTCCCCAGCCAGACCCCCTCATGCCCAGACCCCCTCTCATTGCCCTCTCTTGGTGGCCACCATCTGATGTCGTGGATCACATCACGAGCATCCTGACCCCCCCCCTCCGAATTTCAGCAGCTGCCTGATGCAATCAAATGTTGCTGAAGGCTTGGGGCACAGCAACACCCCCCCAAAATGTGCGGGGAGAAGCTGGACCCCTCCCCAGTGCCTCATCCAGGCACTTCGCAGCACCGTGAGCCCCCCTCTTTCCATCCCCAGCCCCTGCTGCCCCCACTGCCCCGGTGTCCCCAGAGGCAGCAGATTAATGCAGGGAGCAAATAACAGCATCTCCCCGCGGCCCCCGGCACGGGGAGTAGGGAGCAATTAGCTAATTGCAGAGGGAGGTCAGGGCGAGCGCGTGCCCCGGCCTCGTGGCGCAGCCGAGCAGGACCCCGCGTGCAGCAGTGGGGCTGCTTTGTGCTTAGCCCACGGACGGCTTTGTCCCGGCCACAGCGTGCCCTGGGCACCGTGCTCGGCACGTGGCCTCGTGCTGAGAGCGGGGGGGTTGCTTTCAGCCTCTCCCAGACCCAAATTAAGCGGCCGGGGCTCGGCCTCGCCGCCTCTCGCCGCGCTAACGAGCCCGCTAAGTGGGTCACGCTGACTCGAGCGGAGGTGGTGCTGCGCTGCGGGGCCAGGCTCGGCACCAGGCTGCTGGTTTTGGGCAGACCGGGGGCTGCGGGCAGGCCGGCTGAGCCTCCAGCTCCTGCATTTTTGGATAAAGCCCAGGAGGGCACGGGGAGAAAGTTCCCGTGGGTCCGCTCTGCCTCTGCCCGGGTGCAGCCTCGGCCCCATGGCACGGTGTCCCTAGGGTGGGGACGGGGTCTGCGCCCCCTCCCCGGGGGTCTCCCGAGGGTGTCCCCTTCCCGGGGCGATCTCCCCCCTCCTGGGAGGACGGCGTGCGCTCGGCAGCCTCTGGAGGAGCGGCACTTACTGACGACAGCTTCTCCAGAGCTTTAATTATCTAATGATTCTCCCCATTCGAAGGCGCCGCGCTGTGAACAAACAAACAAAGGCAGAAGGCTCCAGCTGCGGCGCGGGGGGCCAGATGTGCTGCAGGGGGGGGGGGAGCCAGGCAGGGGACACCGCTCCGTGGGGACCTCCCTGGTGTGGGGACCCACACCAGCAGCGTGTCCCCAGTGCATGGTGACAGAGCGATGTGGGTTTATGGCTCGTGGAGCCGTGCAGCCAGCAAACAGCCCCGTTTGGGGGCTGATGGAGGCACCCAGCAGCTCAGCACCCAGCCCCGAAAACCCTTCACGTGCCATCGGGCTGCGTTTGTCACCCCAAAGATGCTCAGAGGGTGAGTGCCACACCTCGGTGTCACCCCTCTGCCTCAGCGGGTCCTGAGCACCCAGTTCCTATACCCCGTCCCCGGAGGGCTGCGCCTTCCCCGTGTGCCTGGATCCATCCCCAAGACCCGGATTTTGCACCAGCAGCTCCCTAAAGCAAAGCTTAAACCCTCCCGGGGGGGTGCTCACCATGACTTTCTGCCCCCTCCCAGCCCCAAATCCCCTCCAGGTCCAGACCCCCCAGGAGGGGAGACGTGGGGAGAGGGGAACGGCTGCGGTCACAGGCGGCACGCTCAGAGCCTGGGGACTTGCAGCAGCTCCCGGGGCACCCCCGGTAATTATCGGCCCCGAGTGTTAACGGCAAAACTTCCTCCTCCTGCTGCTAATTAGCAGCAGCTCCCCAGGGCCGCACGCTGTTGCTCCCTCACCCCTCTGGGTGTCCTGCTGGGGGCTGGCGGGTGACACCGATGCCACCGGGGCGCTCACGGCACCGCTGCCACCAGGGCGAGCCTGGGGCTGGGCGGGTGGCTGCGGCATGGGGGGGTCTCCCGCTGTGTTTCACGCTGCCTCCGAGTCCCCCGAGCCCAGCAGAGCCTATTTCTGTCTCCTCCCTGCCAGTGCGCTGCCATCCCCGGAGGGCGTTAATAACCGTGGAGATCCGCAGCCTTTCATTAGGGGTCCGTGCCGCGCTGTAGGGCTTTGTGGAACGAGGAGCCCCGCAGCGGCGCGGTGTCAGGAGGCATCAAGGAGAGCAGGAGCGAGCCACAGCCTCTGACACATCCCCGGAGGCTGCTGGGGTTGGGAAACGGGCACAGGGATGTGGCACACATAGGGCAGGGGCAAAATATCCACATCTGTGGGGCCGGTGGGGCTTTCCCCTCCTGGGTTCTCTCCTCCTGGTGTCCTGGGCCAGGTGGGGATGAGCTGTCCCTTTCCCCAGCACCGCTCACCCCGGTCTCTCCCAGCAGGATTGCAGCACAGGACGCTCCTTCCTCACCCACAGCCTGACCCCAGGCTCTCCAGCCTCCCTTCGTGCTACGGGTGCTGCACCCAAACCCTTGGGCAGCCCTAACCCACCCCCCCCACGCTCCCTTTCCAACCCCTAGGGCATCCCCACGGGGACAACTGCGGCTGGGCCGTGCTCGGGGCTCTCCTCCAGACCCCAGGGCGCCTTGGAGCGCTGACAAGCCCGGGATTTTCTGCCACATTTCTGCCACGGCCGGAGGCCCCGGCGGTGCTGCAAGAAGGGGCCATTGTGGCGAGGTGCAGCTGCGAGGGAGCGGACGGGGAATGCAAAGTTCTGGCCGCCGGGAAGGGGCCGGGGGATTCGCCGCTCCCCGTGGCCTTTCCCCACCCGGCACGTGCCCCCCCCGGTGACAATGGGGCTTTTATGGGGACACCGCCGTGGAGGTGGGCTGCTTTTAGGGTTTTTTGGGGTGGAAAAAACGCAGCTGGGGTTTGAAGGTGGCCTTGAAGCATCACAGCGAGGTGGGACGAGCGGAGGGGCAGCGGCTCCGTGCCCTCCCCTGGGGCTGGGACCGATGCTGCTCTCCGGGGAGGTGCTCAGCAGCTCCCTGTGCTCTCGCTGAGCAGCCACGAGGCTGCTCGGGAGCTTTTTGGGTGCTGCCTGCCCCACACGATGCTCTCCCTCGCCCAGCTTGGGGCTGGGGCAGGGGCCGCTCGCGTGCCCACCCCTGGCGTGCTCGAAGCAGCCGTGAGAGCAGGCAGAGAAGCGCGACCCCGGCTGGGACCAGCCCCGAGCACGGCGTCATTGTTCAGCGTGCGGAAGAGCGAGGCACCTTTTTATTTCTTTGAAAGGACGAGAGGAAGAAAGGGAGAGAGCCGGAGAGCCGGGCAGGCTGCTTGGCCCAGATGCTGTTCCTTCCCCCCCCTTTATTATTATTTTTCCTGCTTTTCTGCAGCACCAGCGCTCATCCCCCACTGATTGGCAATGAAAGCAGCAAAGCAGCCTCTGCCTGCCCGGGGATGGGGGCACCCAGCAGGGAGGGGGGAACAGGGAAGGCAAAGGGGATGAGGAGACCCCCAGCACCACCCTGAGCCAAGCGCCACCCTCACCCGCTGCCGGGACCCCAAAAAGATTCAGGGGCTGACCCCAGGGGATGGAAACAAGGTTGGGATTGTCCCCAGGGCTCTGAGCAGAGAGGGGAGTGGGGGCTCGGTCAATGGGGTGCCCAGCAGTGGGGACAGAGAATGGGGCAGCAATGGGGCAGCAATGGGGCAGCAATGGGGCCAGGCGCCACGCGGGAGCCACCCCGCTGCTGGGAAGCTGCCTGCGCTCCCCCGGCCCCGATCTGTCACCGTCTCCTTAGCCCGTCCGTGCCGTGCTGTTCCCAGCTAATGGGTTGTTGCCGCTCGCGGCGAGTGGCCAAGAGGAACAGATGAGCCCGCGAGGGTGATTTATGCCGGGCAGGTTGACGCCGCAACTGTTGAGGAGAGCGGCAGCAGCTGCCGCGGCTGCTGCGGAGCGATTTGGCTGCGAGAGGATCCTCGGACACAGCGGGGACGCTGCTGCAGGCTGTGGGGTGGCCGGGGAGAGCCCTGGTCTCCATCCTCAGCTTTGTTCAGCTCTGAAATAGCAGCACGAGGGGATGGTTTGGGGATCGGGGAGGTGGGGAGAGCCACCCCTGAGATGCGCCGGGGATTTGGGGGATGCTCCGGTCCCGGGACCCCGTGGTGGGTGACGTTCCCGGGGGCAGCAGGGTCAGAAAGGGGCTGGGGGGGGGATTTGGGTAGGGGTGGAGGGCGGTGGTTCACTTCCCAGCCGCTGCGTGAAGCCAAGATTCAATTCAAGTGCTGCGGTTAATCCGGATTTAATCCGCTCAAAATCCCCCCCTTAATCCGTTTAATGCCACCGCTCGGAATTAGGCTCCTGTGCAGCGGCTCCTGGCTGCCGGGCCGGGAGGAGGAAGAGGAGGGATGGTGGGGAGGGAGGAAGGGGATGGAGGGAAGGGATGGAGGGGGATGGAGGGGATGGAAGGGGAAGGAGGGGGATGGAGGGAGGGGGATGGATGGATGGATGGATGGAGGGGAAGGAGGAAGGGGATGGATGGGGATGGATGGGGATGGAGGGAAGGAATGGATGCGGATAGAAGGAGGGGGATGGAAGGGAATGGATGGATGGATGGATGGATGGATGGATGGGGATAGATGGAGGGGATGAGGATGGACGGGATGGGGATGGAGGTGATAAAGGGATAGAGGGCCGGAGGGGATGAAGGGGTGGAGGGGGAGGGACAGAGGGATGAAGGGGATGGAGGGGATGAAGGGAACAGAGGGACAGAGGGGACGGAGGGGTGGAGGGGATAAAAGGATGGAGGGAATGGGGACGGAGGGGATGAAGAGATGGAGGGGATAAAGGGATGGAGGGATGGAGGGGATGGAGGGGGAGGGTTAGAAGTATGGAGGGGACAGAGGGGACAGAAGGGACAGAGGGGAAAAAGGGATGGAGGGATGGAGGGGATGGGGATGAATGGAGGGGTCAGAGGGGATGGAGGTGATGGTGACGGGGGGTCACCCCTCCAGCCCTGCCGTGGGACCGCACACCCCGGGTGGGCTCCGCGGGGCGGTGCAGGGGCTGCCCCCGGCACCGGGACCGAGCCCCCCCCGGCGGCCCCAGCCCCGCTCCGTGCGGCTGCCACCTACCGACCGCGGGCACGGCCGGCTCCCCGCCGCACCCCGGGCTAACGGCACCGGCACGGCCCCGCCGGACACCCCCCGGACACCCCCGCCAGCACCGGGGGGGCTCGGCCCGGCGGTAACGGGGCCTCGGGAAGGGCCGGGGGGGAGCTGCCGGGGGGTTTCACGGCTGAGCAGCGGCACCGGGGGCACCGGAGCGGCGGCAGCGGGAGGAGCCGGCCCCGGGGTCCGGTTGCGGGGGTCCCGGTCGGGGCGGGGAACGGGCTAGGGAGCTCGGGGGGGGTGGAGAGGGGTCGCTGCCCGGTTCCCGTTCACCCTCCTCGGTCCTGGTCCCGGTCCGTTCCCGGTCCCCCTTCCCACTCCCGGTCCCGGGTCCCTTTCGCCGGTCCCGGTCCCTGTCCCCCCTTCCCGGTCCCAGTCCCTCTTTACGGTCCCCGGTCCCCCTCTCCCTCCCAGGTCCCGTCACCGTTCCCCGTCCCCGGTCCCGGGTCCCCTTCTCCGTTCCCATTCCCCCTCCCCGTTCCCCGGTCCCGGTCCCGTTCCTCTTCTCCGTTCTCAGTCCCGGTCCCGATCCCGGTCCCCGGTCCCCGGTCCTGGTCCCGTTCCCCTTCTCCTCTCCCGGTCCCGTTGTCCTTGTCCCTGGTCCCCGGTCCCCGTCCCTCCCCGGTCCCCGGTCCCGTTCCCGTTCCCCTTCTCCTCTCCGGTCCCGTTGTCCCGGTCCCGTTGTCCCTGTCCCCAGTCCCCCCTCCCCGTCCCCGTCCCCGTCCCCGTTCCCGTTGCCCCTCCCCTCTCCCCCCTCTCCCCCCGCCCCCCCCCCCGGTCCCGGTCCCTCCGGGGCGCTCCCGGGGCACCGAGCGCCCTCCCCCCGGGGCTCCCCCGCCGCTCTCCCATTGGCTGCTTCGTAGCAAGCCCCGCGCTGCCATTGGCCGACACCGCGGGTTGGTACCGCCCCCCCGCCCCCCCCCCCGCCCCCTCCCCGCCGCCGCGCTCGGTTCCGAGGCCCCGGGGGCACCACCGGGCACGGCGGCACCGGGGGCACCGGCACCGACCCCGCGGCGGCCGGGCACGGACGAGCCCCGGGGGAAGCGAAACCGCCCGGGCCGTGCCCTGACACCGGAGGAGCCCCGGTCCCGGTAGCCCCGGTGGTCCCGATCCCGGTGGTCCCGGTGGTCCCGGTGGTCCCGATCCCTGCTCCGCGCCCCCCCCCCCCGAGGCAGGTGAGTGCCCCGCTGCAGCACCCCGGGAGCAACGGGGCTGGGGGTTCCCGGTCCCGTCTGCCTGTCCCGGTACCGTAAATTTGGGGGGTGTAACCGGGGAGCCCCCCCCCCACCGGTAAACGGCGGCTCCGGTAAAGGCTCCGGCCCCTCCGGGTGAGGAGACCCCCCCGGAAAGGTGCGGGGGGTGCTGGAGGGTGCGGGGGGGGTCCGGTACCCAAAGCCTTTGGGGAGGGCTCGGGGTCCCCCGGGGAGCTGGGGGGGTACCGGGGGGCTGGGTGCGGGCAGGGGCATCGGGGGGGGGGATCCGGGGGGGGGGGATGGCACCGGTTGGGGCCGGGGGTCCGCAATGGGGCTGGGTTCAGGGAGGCGCACGGGGATCCCGACTCCTCGGTCCCGCTTCTGGCCGTGCCTCAGTTTCCCAGGTGAAAAACGGGGAAAACGGGCAAAAAGAGGGGCTCCCCGTGGGGGGGGTGGGGGGGTCACAAAGCGGGGAGCACGCCTGGGTCCCCGCCTCGCCTCCTTTCCGCCTGGCAGAGGGTGGGGAGAGTTTGGGGTTTCGGCGACAACAGGATGTGTTTGTGTGCACCACGCCTAACCGGGCCGCCACGGGAAACCGGCACCGGGGAAACGGGGCCCCCCTAACCCCCCCCCCCCCCCAAACCCCCCCATCCCTCCCTGGCTCCCGAAACGCCGCCTCGAGGCCAGCCCCACCGCGGGGCACCCGGCGCACGTGGCTGGCTTGGCGGCACCGCCGCGCGCGCCCTCGTGGGCGTCGAGCTCCCAAGGACCGAAATTTCTCTGACCCCCAAGGGATGAATCTCTTTGGCTGGGGGGGGGGGGAAATCGTGCCCGGAGGAGCTCCGTGGGTCGGGGGTCAGATTTGGCTCCCCCGGCCCCCACAGCCGAAGTTTTACTGGAGTGAGCGGGGCGGTTTTAGGGGAAGGCCTGGAACCGTAAAAGATTTCTTCCCGGCACAAAGCGCGGCGTGGCTGGAGGGAGGCAGCGGGGATGGAACCGTCCCGGAGGATTCAGCTCCGATCTTGCTGCTTTGTCCTTGCCACGCTCTCCCGGAGGCGCAGATCCCGTGCAGGAGGTGTGAGAGGAGCCTCTCCGCCGGGCCCCCCCGGCACGGGACGGACGGACGGCGGCACGGCCCCCGTTTCCACTTCCCCATCAGCCTCCTGAGCCTCCTGCGAGCGAAGGAGAAAGGAAGTTGCCGCGGGAGAGAGCGGCTGATCGCCGCCCGATAAGGGAAGGAGGAAATAGAAGGCGAGACAGATGCTCCAAAATACCCCCCCCTCCCCGTGTTCCTCCTCCTCTTCCTCCCCGCGTGCAGCCTGCGCGCCCCTCGGCCTCCCCGGGCACGGTGCAGGGGGTGCCCCCGGCCGTTCCCGCAGCGGGACCCCGGTAAGGAAGCGGTGCCGGGGGCTCTGCTCCCACGCTCGGGGTTGGGGTTGGCACCCGGAGCCCCTCGGCCTTGCACAGACACGTCGGAGCTGCCGGGGAAAATCGAGCTTCCCAGGCGCTGCTTCAGATCCGCCTGCGATTTTTGGGGCCAAGTCGGATGTTTCCCAGCCCCGGCAGGCTGGTTTTGTTACGGAGGATGCCGGGTTTGTTACGGAGGAGAAACCCCACCGGCTATTTCGGGTGGTTTCTGGTTCCCCCCCCCCTCCCTGCTGTGCCCTTGGCTGCTTGCCGCTGCCGATGGGCTGCAGCCAGGGGCTGGTGGGGCCGCCAGGACGGAGCAGGGCTGAGCGGTGCTGGGGGTGTGCAGGGAGCTGCTGAGGCCCCCTGCCTGCTCCCGTTCCCCCCCAGTCATCCCAGTGAGCCCAAAGAGCCCCAAAGCCACCCCCAAAGTCCTCGGGCACGTGGGGAGCGCCACGTTGCGAGGGTGGCAAAGGTCCTCGCTCCTGGGGGGGTTTCTGGTTATAAAACCTTGAAAATCCTCAAGGGCCCTTTTTCAAGGGATAATTACTTCCCCTTTTTTGCTGCTGCCAAATTGCCGGGCTCGTGCTCTCCCGGTGCACGCACGCAACCCTGGCACGGGCACCGGGGGAAGGAGCTGCCGGGCAGGGGGGAGCCTCGCGGAGCCTGGGGGCTGTGCCCCCCTCCCTCTGCATGGCCCGGAGCTGCTGGGGACAGGGAAGGGGACACGGCCGAGCACTCCGCAGTGCCCCTCGGCCGATCCCGGCACACGGCGGGGTGGCACCAGGCAGGAGCCGGGCACGGCGGCACCGGGGCTCGGGGCTTGGCCCCGCAGCATCCCCCGTGCCGGGCTCCCAGCCAGCTGCAAGGAGAGACCTGCGCCACGGTTCCTGCTCCCGCTGCCAAGAAATGAGGCTTTCCTCAGGCAAGGTGTTTGCTCAGTTGCTTCCTCCCGGGCCTCACCCTGTTGTGCACACACGTGCCGGACCCTGCTCGTCCCCCGCAGCCGGCTGGGGCAGTGGGGAGGGCGGTGAGCGGTGCTGCGGGTCCCCATGGCCACGCACAACAAGGAGCTGTTGGAAAAAACTGTCGGGTCCCTCCTCTGCTACCCAAACACTGCTAAAAACGGGGCCTCGGGGAGGCTGAGAGCTGTGGGGTCAGGCTGGCTGCTGCTGTTGGGGTCTCCAGTTACAGCCCTGTGCCTTCGTCCCTTCTGTAATCCAGCAGCAAGGTTTAATTAATTAATGTTGGTCGGACGCTTGGAGAGCTGGTGTGGGAAACTGATCCAGGTGGGGAGAGCCGGGGGATGGAGAGGGGAGGAGAGGGAGAGCGTCTCCAGCCTCTGATCATGCACTCAAGCCGGGCTCTGAGGGCCCGGGGAGGTGGTGGTGCCGGGGTGCAAGCAGAGGTGGGGAGGATTTACACGTGGTGGAGGGGAGAGCGGGGAGATCGCACCCCTTAAAAATCTGCTTTTGGCATTAGCTGGGGATTGGAGCCACTCCGGGTGCCCTTGGAGCTGGGGACTGGTTATTGGAGGGAACTTGTGACGGCGAGAGGTGAAGCGGGGCGAGATGGGGACAGGGAATGGGAGCGCAGGGGCTCGCACGGGGCACGGCCTCGACGAGGAGGTGGAGGTGCCTCTGCTCGCGGCTCGAGCCCTTCCCCTCGTTGCTGCATGCTCGCTCCACGCTGACCCATCAATTATTGAAGTGCTTTTGTGTTCCTGCATGAAATATTCATCCCGCTGCCAGGGGAGCTGGCTGTGCGCTCGCAGGGGCTGCCGGGGTGAGGAGCAGCGGCGCGCAAAGCAACGCCGACAGAGACCTGGTAATTGGGGCCTGGAGGCTCGCGGGCACCGGGGGGGAACCGGGACCAGCAGGGTGCGAGCACTGGATGGGGGCAGCAGCAAATTCCCCCCCCCAGTCCCTGCTCCTCCGGAGGGGAGGCGATGGAGGCACTGGCTCCAAGTGCCCGTGGCGATGCCGTGCGCCGGTGCTGCGAGCCCGGGGTGCTGGTGCTGGACAGGGTTTTGTGTCCCCGGGAGCTTTAATTGATGCTGCTTAACGAGGGGCCGCGCTCTGCTCCTGCTTACACCAGCGGTGCTGTAGGTGTCTGTGGGGCTCATCCTGCTTTACACCGGCATGCAGGGGGTTTAGGCTTCTGCACGCAGTGGGGAGTTGGGGATCGGAGCTGCCTGTCCCCGTCCTGGGCACCCAGGGACAGATTTGGCTGCGCTGGGGGTGGCAGGGAGGGGACGTGGCCGCCCTGTTCCTGGCCACGTGCAGGGTGGCTGTGAGCAGGAGGCTGCGGACGGGCAGGGTGAGGCTGCCCACTGTGTCCTGGCTGTGTTCGGTCCTGTTGCTGCTGTGGCCTTTGTGGTGCTCGGCCAAAGCCCCAGGCTGCAGCAGGGAGCCTGTGCCCCGGCCTCGGCACGTGCTCGGCCCCAGAGGAGCGTGTCGCAACGCCTCGGGGCGTGCCAGAGCATCACCTCCGCAGCTCGCGCAGGATGTCCGGGCGGGGAACCAAGCACGGATGTTGCAGCCTTCAGCTGAGCCCCACGGTGTGAGCCCTCCGATCCCACTCGGGGCTGCAAAGCCTCCCTGGGAGCTCTGCTTTTCTTGGTAGGATCCAAAATCCTGCAAAAGTGGTGGAAAAAAACCACAAAGACACGGCCGTGGCTGTGCGTGAAGCCACCATTCGGCGCCGCGGCAGAGCCGTGCCGCACCGCGCTCTTCCGGAGCAGACAGGGCTCAGTGCTGCTCTTTCGGGGGAAGCTGCTGGTTTTCAAGGGCGTTT